ATTTGTTGTTATTGTTGTTGGCTTCATTAGCCTCAAAGTAGCACTCACATAAAATTAGCATAGATTTTCAAAATTATTCTTACTTGCACCATTCGATGCATTCCTTGTCAGAGAGATATTTGACGTTCATCGATGAATCATTTAATTCCTAATAATTTGCAAATGGCAATGCAATAAAATATTGCATACATTTTAACCGCTTGCAAAGGTTTAATTTTTTATTTGTAAAATGTACAAAGGTCATGTATTGCAGAATTACAGGCTGTTAGGGCTGATGTCATGCGTTTTAAGGCAATAATACTGAATGTGTATGAGTTTCATATTAAATGTCACATTCATGTATTGTGGAAACAGGAAAGCAGCCGTATTCAAAACAATGAATCGAGTACGTACTGCAACATCACTGACGACTGCAGTACATATTGTATTATAAATCAGACTCTGGAAAAGACAAATGAAGAAAGCTGTCTCTTGTGTTGGCCAATTAGTTTAAAATACAATGCATATATTATCAGAGTTAGTGTGTTTGTTTGCATGTTCACCACGAGTACGTGTGGTTAATGCAGACTTGATTCCTTGCAAAAGGTTTTCTATTTGGTGTTTGAACATCTCAACACCTCCGGTTTTATTGCCAGAAAGGGCAAACCCTATTTTTATTTTTTCATACAAATGAACGTCACATGCTCTTTAACACCCAGGTTTTCGCGACCAATATTATGATTCATAATTGATTCTTGGGTCAGATCGCGTAAGTGCAAAACCTCGTGGGCGTACCACTGACGATATCACACCACCCGACTTAAGGCCCACAACTGGAGAACAGCTTCACAATTCTGGCAGCTGTCTGATGATGCTGGTTGTGACCACCAGAAAAATGTCGGACTACACAATTGTTAAATATGCGTGGATAGCTCTCTCCAACACACCGGCGTTCTGAAGCGGAATTAAATTGGCACTTTTTTTCAGGTAGCAACCTTATTCACTGGCTGTGTCAGAAGAAAAGGAGGGTTTACAAAACAAATTATACTTAGATGTGACTCAAAAATCTATGATGAATGATCATATACTATAGCATTATGCCTAGCCCGTACATTATTTGGTATCTCTCGAAGAGGAGCGAGGAACCACAGACAAGCGAAAGGCAGACAGGCAGTGAGTCGGCGTTACCAATAATATTGCCAAAGCTCTGCTGTCCTCTAATAGTGCGTTCGTTCTTTTCAGCGAACTATTGAGTTTAACACGTAAGCTGGAGTGTTAACATGCGAGAAAGCACTGGGAGCATCCGCAGAAAACCCATGCGTACGAGAGGGACAACACTCTATCCCACACACCATGCAGGTGGGACGGGCGGAGTCCACATTTTCTGTACCATTATGCGATCCACCAACCCTGGCTGCCTCCAATGCTAGATGGCAGGCCACGTGCATTTTATCCACCGCTGCTTGGCGGTCATTATCCGCAATCTCACAAAGCAAGGCCTCAAAAACAAATATCCAAACATAAAAAAACTATTTACAAGAATGTAACTGCTACACCGAGACTGCATGACGCTAGTAACACAATGAATGTCAGGGTTAGACAAGGAGTAATGCCGTTTTCCAAACAGAAACCGTGGCAATAAGGGGGTAAACATGTGTAAGGGATCTGCGAGCCATCCTCACGCACTCACACCACGCAAACATGAAATCTCCGCACTCAGCATAGCACGCACCAATCACACGCACGGGAATACACTAGACGGGGGTCAAGGGTTAAAGGGCACTGATGTCACACGGACCCGGCGTGCGAGACGAGGATGTGTATTGGGAACCAGGGCGGGGATAGAAGGTTTAAAAGGGGCTGCGAGACGCATGTTCGGGGTTGGTTTTAGGAACGAGTGTGGCTGTGGGTTGAAGAATAAACAAGTGCGTAACCAGTCTCTGACTCCTCTTCATCTGGTGGCAGCGGTGGGGATGTCTCGCCTCAGCCGATGCAAGATCCCAACGGGGGAGACTCAGCCAGAAGACGCTCTAGGTGCCCGGGACGAGATTTGCTCGGAAACGGAAAACGACGAGTCGGGATTCGTCCCCCGTCTCATCGGCAGGATCCGTGGTAGCTGCTCGTCCCATTTGGGCACCTTCCTCCACCAACCCGGCGGTCCAGACCCAGCGCCACAGCCGCCGCAGATCATCCTCTAGGGATCGGAGGATGGATCAGCTGCCGGAGGCAATAACGGCGCTGCTTCGCCGGCTGAGTCCTGAGGTCGAACGAGCGGGGGAACTTCAGCCGCACCGCCTCCCCAGCGACGGGACGGGAACCACGGTCAGGCTTCCTGACAGGCACTCCGCAGCAGCTATCAGGGGATGGAGCAGCACCAGCGACGCCGCCGACCGTGCATCCCGCACGGGACCTGGGAGAAAACTCTGCCCTGTCCTCCCGATATCCGCCGACAGCAGCGGCAACCGGGGGACATGAACGACTGGAGCGCAGCGGAGAGCAGCTGACCGGGCAAGGGACAAGGACCTGGGAGAAAACTCTGCCCTGTCCTCCCGATATCCACCGACAGCAGCGGCAACCGGGGGACATGAACGACTAGAGCGCAGCGGAGAGCAGCTGACCGGGCAAGGGACAAGGACACAGGTTGGGAGCGAGATTCAGCCCGAAACTCAGCCGAGGCAGCCCGCGGAGGGAGGACCAAGATGGAGCCGCCAGCTGGACGCTAGGTAGCCGTAAGACCGATGCTGCGCTACGCCTTTACTATTTTTGGCCGGGCATGTCTGCCAATGACCGCCGTGGAGTATCGGCGTGCACAGGTTGTGCATGCAGGAAATTTTCTAGGTAAACGAGCTCGTGGCACTCGTTATATTGAGCCCCTTCCCCGCCACTCCTCGAGGAAGTAGATACCTACTAGTGGGGATTGAGTACTTTACATGCTGGCCCGTTGCCTGCCCGTCGGCTGGCCAGACTGCGGCGTCCATAGCGGATGCCTTTGTAAATGGTTATGTCGCTGACAAGTGGGCTCCTGAGCGGCTGCTGATGGACCAGGGCATAAACTTTTCCTCCAAGCTTTTGCAGGAGGTGTGTGACATGCTGGGTGTCAAGAAGGGGTGGAAGTCCCCGTACCATCCATAAACGGACGAGATGGTAGAACGCTTTAACCGCACCATCTCGGGGATGCAGTGTCACTTGGTCAATGACCAGCAGACGGACTGGGATTGCACATCCCTGGGGTTTTGACGGCCTATCGCTCGGCACCGCATGCATCAACGGGATACCCACCCTTTTTCTTGATGTATGGACGCGAGCCGAGCCCTCCGATTGAGGCACAGTTGCGCCCTGTCCCGTCGCGTTCGGGAGGTTCGCCAGTCGCGTTCCGCACGAGGCTCGCAAGGCGGCCTCGGCAGCATCCGCGTCTGCGCAAGCTACGAACGAGCGCTTGCGGGCTAAGCCGCCGGTCGCGGATCCTTTTGCAGTGGGTGACCTGGCTTGGCTGCACTGCCCGCAGGTACCGTTACGTACATCAGCGAAACTGCACCGGCCCTGGCAGGGCCCGGTCACAGTGGTGCAGGTATTGCGGCCTCAATGTGTAAAACGTTACGTCACAAGCTAGTCACAAGCTAATCACGCAGCTATTTCAATGCTAAATTATCCGAACCAAACATTAAACTAATTTTCAATGGTACAGTATATTTTTCAAGTAGTGGTATCCCAAACGTTCGCAGCAGCTTAAATTCCCTTTTCACACCATCAATATGTAAACTCCCCCTCTACACCGTTCCATCATGCTAAGTCCGCCAATTAAACGCTAATTTTTTATGCTAATTCCTTTGTCAAGGCGCTCTGTTTCTTCTCACACAGCTTAAAGGTCACTGTCTGAGATTAGCTGTGTTCGCTCCAGCGCTGTCCTCCAGACAGTCTCGTCCCTTCACCTGATGAAGGCCGCTTGTGTTGTGGCCGAAACGTCGTGAGAATTTTATTGTGTTATTTTATTTTATTAATTTATTATTTTATTCTCATTCTACGTGACTTTACCGAAAGAACCAAAGAAGATGAATCCTTGCAGTCACGAAAGCTTTAAATCGAAATTTATATACAATATCAACAGTGATTTGGGCAAATTGCCCGTGTTGGTGGAAGGTGATTTCACAAACACTTGGGAATTTTAATTAAACTAAAATTTAAAAAAGTGAAATGTTTGCTTGAAGCAGAATCGGAACACATGTTGCATTTTAGAACTATTTGAACAGTACAGTAGAATCGTGGTGGTGGTGGTGGTTTAAAGACACACACCGTGCAAACATGACAGTAGGAATGTTTACAAGGTTAACAGCGTTTTCACTCGGCAGCCTGGGAGGGCAAAACGTGAAGCAAACCGCTTGCATTGTTACCGGAAGAAGTCGTCATTGTGAACAGAGCTAATGAGTGGTTCTCGTCGTCACCTTGTGTCACAGCTCAATGTTGTTGTTGTTAATTCAGATTATTTCTCAACGCTAAGCGTGCGCCTCTGGACAACCCCCTAAGGGCCATCATCATCCATCATCACGGCAATCGCCATCAGAATTTCTCGCCGTAACAATTTTAGCGGCGATGTCACGACCCGAACCTCCTGCACAATCGTGACTTGTACTCAGCGTCGGGATCGCTGCCCCAAGAGACAAAGATCCCCCGTGTAGCCTGCGACAGGCTGCAGGGGCAAGTGCTTGTGTGTAGCGAGTGGCAAGCGAGCGCCCTGTGAAGGCCGGCAACTGTGGTGGCTCACGAGGGGTGTGGGTGGGTGCATGGGTGGCTAACAACTCCCCAAACTCCCGCCGCGTCAATCACATCGGGAGAACAGACGACGACAAGAATGAAAGACACGGATCATAAGCACGCGGCCGCTGTAACATCGCTTGCAGTCGCTTCTTTCTCCCCTTCTGCGCCGCGCGTCGTTGTCGTTGTTGTTTGAAAGAGGGCGACAGAGGCGACCTTAAGGGAGGAAGCGACGAGACCAACCAAGCCACCACCCTGGGTGCCTCTCTCACCTGCCACTGAAGCCGGGCTCCCATCCAGCTTCGGAGCCAGACTCCGTGTCGGCATCCGCATCCTTGCCCAAGGACTGATAGAAGTTGGTCAGCTTGGCCAGCCTCGACTGGAGATTCTTGCGATGAGCCATCACTCGCCTCTCTCTCCTCTCGCTCTCTTAGATCGTACAATCCCGAGGTTTATAATATTCGCTTCGTTGGTGGCGTGCAACCCCCTCGGTCCACAGCCTGGAACTCAAAGATGTGTTTGTTTTTTAAGTGTCTGCGTGGCGGTTTAGCTCTCTCTCCTCTCTCTCTCTCTCCTTTCTATTTTACACTCGTGTCTCTCTCTTCTCTCGTCTCTCTCTCTTCACGAATGGCAAAAGTATAAGGTTGGTAAAAAAATGACAGAGTTGTAACCGCCCCTTGGGCTATTTACATCCGGCCGAACCGGTTGTGAGATATGGGAGGAGGAGGAGGGGGGGGTTTCAGAGTGTAACCTTCATCAAAATGCACGACGAGAAAGAAGCTATATGGGAGGGGGTTGTGCATTCTCGGAGAAGATGCACGGCAGTGTTCACCAGAATCAGCACCAGCCGTTGCACGTTAACGCGTAAACGGCATGGAGGTGAACCTTAGACCGACTGTGGTGAGCGACGAATCCGTCTCAGCAGCAGCAGCAGCAGCGTGTGATCCAGCCTTGTTTTATTTATTCCTCTCTGCCTGCATCGACAGCACACGGCGCATGAAATGCGCAGCTCACAAAGCTGCCCTTTATACTGTATCCGTTGAACTTTGCACGGGCTTATGCCAAGTTGTGCCTTTATGACAAGTGGAAAATCTGTCATTCAAAAGATTGATTGCACGTGCAGACGCCCATGACTCTGTTTGATGCCATTAACTTGGATTTAAGGCAAATGGCTCTCTGAATTGGGATTCATCATCAGCTCTGATCTGTGTCCACTGCTGGACAAATGTCTCCAGAAGTCCTTCGATGGAACGATCCATCCAGCACCTGCACACGATGCTCATGTATTTCCATCGCACCATCTCCGTGATGGTCTCCCCTTCGTCAACATACGTGCACAGATATGCTGCGCAAGCCTAAGTGCTGTTATCAGTCAACGCGATGTGTACACCATCATATTGACTGATTTCTGATTGTGTTTGCGGTTGTTGATTTATTAATGATAAAGTAGAATCAATGGCTGAATTTGATATACTGTACTGTATTTAAGTACTGTATATGTGTTTGTATGCAAAGGATATGTTTAATATTGTAACATAATAAAGTCATGTCTTTGAACCCTTGTAGCAATTCACAACTGTGTGAAGGCCTCCTCATGCCATGTCAGTTACAGTTTTGGGGGTTTTGGGCTATACTTCACCATGGTGATCAGTATCGGTTTGGTGAAGTTGGAAATTCAGAGACCGTGGCCAGTCAAAAAACTTAGGCCACCAAGCTAATAATGCAGTGTGCAGTCCAAACAAATTTAGTCGGGTTCTACCATATTCTCTGGATTATAAGACACTTTTTTCCCTTCAGTGTATTTTAAAGTTGGGTGTGTGTCTCTTAAATCCAGTAGGTGTGTGTATGTGAACAGATGGTGTAACTTTGTTGGCACAGAACACGTTTGAGGAGGGACTTGCTCTCCAGAGCATCTAATATTCTGGAGATAATGGTAGTATGCAAAGCATTAGTTCTGAGAGTCAATTCTGGCATTCTCAGTATTTTACAACACCCCTGCAGTCCTGGAATATAATAAGTACTGTACTGAGAAATGTTGCGTAAATTCCAGATTTCTGTATAAGTGCAGCCTATGAAAAAAATCATGCAATAGCACCTCCCTTCCTGTTGTGCAAGAAATTGACTCCAATTGCTCTGCTGTACCTATCCTCCCAAGCCTCCACAACACTCAGTATTTTATCGCCCACAATTCTACATTGGATGCTGACGTAATATAATGGTTAGCATGCTGGACTTGCAATGAACGACTTTATACAGCCCCCCTGCCTCTATTCACCCAGCAGTATAGAGGGGTACACCAGTAAGTCGACTGGGAGGCTGCATGTGGCAGGGTGCAGTGTGGTTACTCTGTATAGCCAGCCTGAAAGAGTAGGCCAAATATCCTCACAAGGGTATTCTAGAGCCCCTTCCGGTGCAGGTCCATGCTGGTCATTGCGGGGTGGTGAAAAGGAGTGACCAGGATCTAGGACCGGTTCAGATATCATTAGCCACTGATGTTAGCCGTGGATGGAAATCAAACAGGTTCACAGCATGGTGGATTAACATTTGCACTACATTTAACCCCCTCGCATTCTTGAACTGAAGGTGTGGTAAACACACTCCACCACAAACGGTCTGCCAATTGGCCTTCTCCAGTATCAGCAGAATGCCATTAGATGGACAGGGGCAGTGATGGAACTTGCCCAAGGCTTAAACTGCTTTGGTCAGAAAAAAAACCCCCACGACATTTCTTTTTTTTGCAAAGAATGGGTAAAAACAAAAGACAAAAAGTCCAAGGTTTTAATTTCATTAAGAATCGTACAAATGCATATTCAAGCTGGGTAAGCAAGTATAGGAAAGCCGCGCAAGCGTTTAAGCAACATTAGTCAGCAGGAGCAAGTACCGAATGAGCAGGGAAAAGCGATCATATTACCTATATGCAAAAAAAGGAGACAAGAGCGAGTTAAATAATTATCGAGTAATCAGGCTGTGAAGTGTAGCAGGGATAGTGTTCATGAAGAATTCTGAGGTACATAGAAACAGCATTGGCAGAGGAACAAGTTGAATTTAGAGCAGGAAGAAGTATAATAGACCAGTTGCTTACAATCAGACAAATCTCTTAGTAGCATGCCAAATAGAATGGGAAATATTACAATAACTTGACATTGACATCAAACAGGCTTTTGACGGCATCTGGCAGAAAGGGCTATGGCAGGTTCTGAGAAGGAAACGGCATGGCAGAGAAGTTGCTCAAGTTGCTGCTACACAGAATCTACAGCCAGTCAGCGAGCGCAGTAAGAGTGGTCACAAAGTTAACAGAATCATTCAGGATGTCTTTTTAGTGGCAAGACGGGGGGAGAAGATTTGGATTGTGTATCAACAGGGAAAAGACAAAGCTCATGACGACTGGAAGACGAGAGGACGAATTAACGATAAAGGTGGAAGAAAAGGGTTATAAAAAGGGCGACACATTTGTGTACCTGGGAGGCCTAGTGACACAAAACGGAAGCCGTTGGGAAGACATCGAGAGAAAAACATCGTACATTCGCAGCGGTAGCCTTTGTGAAGCTCAGCACTATAGCTGTCCATAATAGCGGGGTTTTTTTGGGGGTTAGAGCACGTAAATATAAATGTGTCGTTAAGACCCGCCACTACCCGACACAATCAATTAGTAAGGTTTGTCACGTAAACAAAACGTGCCAATTCGTTACTAGGTCAGCGCACCGGTTGTGTGTTGAAGAGCAAACCCACAACATTTACCATTCGAGTATGACGTTTCGCCGATAATGATGTATGGCACAAATTTCCGACAAAATGAGCTGCCTGAGAATAATCCCGAGTATCGAGACTACGGAAAATATGAAATGATTCAGTGAGAGAATGAGTGGGACAAGAGGCAACACTGATAGAGAAAGATTTGAGGCAATTGATGGTTTGGATTCAAAACAAACAAACCTGGCATTATGCACACAAGCACACCGTTCAAGAAATAGACGAGGACCAAAGGATGCACAGTGGAAATTTATGTCGAACAATAATGACTAGAGGTAAGGGAAGCTGGTACAAGGCAGCAACAGGTATAGATATCTAAATACAGACGCATCGTCTTTCAGGGGACGGAAGGAAACGAAAGGAGAGAATCCACAAGGCCAAATGATCAGAAATGCACAGAAGGCCGTCTTTAGCTTTGTGGCTACATTGTGGATAGCAAGAGAGCAGTGCAGTGAAATCCACGTTTGTATTGCACCTCTATGTTCCCCATCTTCACCAAGCCACACTGACCGGCATGGCGAGGTCGCGTCAAATAACCCCAACAAACCCATCATGCCGTGCGGGAGGCCCTCCTCCAACAGTAGACCGACAGAGGCTTGCAGCGCGTACACGTACAATCCACGATGTGTACATTAAAATGGAATATTAATGTGTACAGTGATACAGTGAAAACAACTGTCACCTGCGATCTGAATAATTCATCATGTGCCCGCCGTTTTGTTTGGGCTGCATGACGTCAAGACAAGTGGAAGCACACGCTCAATGTATCAGCGGTGCGGCCACACTTTGTTGGATTCACGTGGGGACGTTTGGTTTCATCATGAACGTATAAGTTTCCCGACGAGCACGGTTGGAAGGAGGTTCAACATACATGCACGAGGCACAGACATTGTAACGATTATTACAATGATATTCGACGATGAGCCTGCACCGGGGTGGAATTTGTCTTGGGTTCAACTGTACCCAACCCCCCCCCAGGCCCGGAGGTAGTCCAGGTGGCGGGCTACGAAGAGGGGAGGGTAAATGTACACGGGGGGCCCAATTTTATTCATTGTTCCAAGGCCTATGCCAACAACCAATGGTACGCCACTACTTGAAGCATCATCTGAGCTTCAAGTAAACAGGGCTCGTGGATTTCGCTCATAACGGGTCGGGCAGTGTTGTGTTCATCACCGATCATTTGAAATGTGTCCCCTTCATTTGACGTGGTGGCGAGACAAAAGTCCCAAAAGTCATTGGCCGTTTCAAGTGAAACTTTGGCAAAAAAAAACCATGGAAAACTTGTGTATACTATGTGGCCTGCCTGCCCAAAAGCGAGCATCCATAATTAAGTTCAAGGAAACATGCAGCACGAGACAAGGAAGGTGTATTGATGTAAAAAGAAATGATATTGAACAAATAGATGTGAGTACAACTGAAGCAACAAAATTAAGTATGTATGTATGTTGAACTTCTTTTGCACCGTACATAGCCAACCGCATTAATCGGAGGTGCGTGGGAAGGACAACAAACAAAATAGAAAAAAATCAGTTGTAAAGAAATGGGGTTTCAATCTAGATTAAAAAGTGCATAGCTCCAGTGGCTTCCTAATATCAGAAGGGAGAGCTTTCCAGACGGCCGCAGAAGCGCATCTAAAAGCGCCCGATGCAGTGATCGTCTTTGTTCGGTGAATAGGCAAAAGCCGCTGCTGCGAGGCTGACCGGAGTTTGCTTGATGATGGTTTATGCTTCTTGACGGGATCAGCAAGGTATTGTGGTTCATTTGTGGCGAGCACTTTGCGTGTAATGAATGCGAACCATATTCTTAGTTTTTTCGGTAAAGTCGTTGTTGTTTCCCTTCAACGTGACTTTACCGAAAAAAACTAAGAATATGAATTACTGCAGTCACGAAAGCTTTAAATCAAAATGCGAACCTTTTAATAGCCGTAAAAAGTCAGACCAATGATGGAGGGAGTTGACTCGGCCCCATCGTCGTTCTTGAGCTGATGGGCAGAGAACAGAATCAATCAATCAAAGTTTATTGGTCGCATGCACAGTGAAGCTGATGTTATAGCGGGTGCAGCAAAATGCTTGTCAGCTCCACAACATT